TAATAATAATAATAATAATAATAATAATAATAATAATAATAATAATATACAGAAGGCTACAGAATATTTACAGTAAACTCATCTTCCAAATGTGGATATTTATACACTCCATCTGCTCACAAGTACACCTAAGATAAAGAGATACAGGAAGATCTCTTTAAGACAAGAGAATTCTCGGAAAAGACAGGATAGAAAATCTGGAAGTAGACAGCTTTTTAAAAAATGGAACGATCCGGTTAAAAAAAAAAAAGCTACATTCTGCTACTGAAAAATGATATTTTATAAAGCAATAGTGACGGGTGTGTTTGTGTGCTTTGCTGAGCCCCAATTCAGCCAGGTATATTTTAATTAATCCTGCCTGCCATGTGATGGCATGGCCAGCCACGAGGCAGTGTGTCAGACACACAACCTGAATTACGTGACTGTTTGCTATCCTGTCTCTGCCCAATTACTGCATGAAACATCTGTTCTCTTCCAGCCCAGCATCCTGGATGGCTCAGAAAGCAAGTGACACCATCTTCCTCATGTCAGGAATAATCGACTTAATTACAGTTCAGAATAAGGACAGGATGTGCTTTGAATGGGAAGCACAAGCAATTCTCAGATGCTGCTTTGGAAAGGTGCAGTAAATTTGTTTTTATTTATTAAACATATTTATATGGCTGCCTAACACACACACCGACTCCGGGCAGCCAATCCACTCCAAAATTGCACGCGTCTCACAGTAAACCAAACCAAAACAGCAGCAGGAGTCCTCACTCACACTTTCACCCTCCTCCTTTTTTTCACATTCACATCTTTCCACGTGGCTAGAAGCTGCTATCACACCGCAGTTTGGTCGTCTCCACACGCCTACAATTCAAAGTCAGGTTCCCCTCCTTCCCATAAAAATTATTAAAAAGTTGGCTAACATGACTAGACTTGAAAAGCACCAGGAAAAGCAGAGCCAAGTCATAGTGTTAACAATGAGGCGGGCAAACAGGAGCTCTTGGTGAACCTGTATTTTTTGAACTCCACACCTTTGGTGACCCACTGGTGGCTGAGTTTTCTGAACATAGCTAGAGGGCCCTAGTTCAGGAAAGAAGAGCTGTTGTACTGTAGAACGACAACCCCAGGGGGGATTTCCAAAAAAAAAAAAACCAGAATATTCAAATTTAGGATTGAGGAGTCCCCAAAATTCCCTGGGTAATTTTAGATTGAGGCTGTGGTTCAGCTTAATCTACCAAGGAAGGAAGGAAGGAAGGAAGGAAGGAAGGAAGGAAGGAAGGAAGGAAGGAAGGAAGGAAGGAAGGATTAGGTATAGGAAGGAAGGAAGGAAGGACATATGGAGCTGTTGGTAACCACTGACCTTCAGAACAAAGCAAAATGTAATCTATTTTGATTGTATCCACCTGAACGGTTAAACCACCACTCTTTTCCTGTACTCATTCCCCTCCCCAAATCCTTGAAGCAACCTACCTAGCTAGCTCACAGGAATCCCCCTGCCCACTCACCCTCCACCCCAACCTCCACCTCAGTCTATTCCCACCTTTGGCTTGGCCAAGCACAGAACAATGTCCCTCTTGCCCCAGGCAAGACAAGCAAAGATGCAAATCCTTTCCAGTGGAAATCTATAGATCTTTATCTAGAGACAGGCCAAGCTCTGTCTGAATTTCATCCTCACCTCGGACAAGGCTCTGGATTCCTGGGTGCCTTTCAAAGACACCCCTTGACACTCTGTCCACCTGGACTGAAAACTTGGAAGTTACAGGGTTTGCAATCCTCGGCTTCTAAACTGTTACGTTGCACATTTGATTTAGAATAACCCCAGTTCAAATAAACCCCATTGCATAATGGGGCGCCTGACATCCTGGACATAAACTGTTTCAACTCCTACCCTCAAAACGACGCTATAGAGCATTGCACACCGGAACAACGAGACACAAGGGGAGTTTTTCCCCAATGCCATCGCTCTGCTAAACAAATAATTCTCTCAACACTGTCCAACTATTTACAAAGTCTGCACTACTATCGCTATTAACCTTCTCATCACTCCTTATCACCCCTCCCCTTCCCCTTGTGACGGTATGACTGCAACTCTGTCGCTTGTATCCTTATCATTTAACATGGACTGTTTCCAAGTACTATTTGATTGATTATTGTACCCTGTGACTATCATTAAGTGTTGTATCTTATGATTCTTGACAAATCTATCTTTTCTTTTATGTACATTGAGAGCATTTGCACCAAGACAAATTCCTTGTGTGCCCAACACTTGGCCAATAAAGAATTTTATTCTGTTCTGTTCTATTCTATTGACTCATTACTTCCAATTTTCAAATTTTGAAGGAAGTGTGTAGCTTTGGTAAAAGGGCAGCCAAAGATGAATTGACAGATAAAAAACTAACAAAATTGGAAGGGACCCTGGAGGGTAATCCCCCACCCCCTTTTAAAGTTATCCAACCCCTTGTGGTCGTAGGGCATCCCTCAAATTCATTCTGCAAACATTTGGTTTTAATTTAACTATGTTTCCTATCAACGTTTCAGAAATCTTTTCTTGTGCTCGCCGCCTACACTCCGTCAACTAAGAAACTACCGTCTTCAACTTACAACCACCTGTTTTGTAACCGGTCCACATTACAACGGCACTGGGAAGAGTGACTTGGCTGTCCCTTTTTGGAGACAGCCGGATCTGTATTTCTGTGACACTAAAGGCCGAGGTCTCCAAACTTGGCCACTTTAAGACTTGTGGACTTCAACTCCCAGAATTCTCCAGCCAGCTCTCGTTCTGCTGGCTGGAGAATTCTGGGAGTTGAAGTCCACAAGCCTTAAAGCGGCCAAGTTTGGGGAGCCCCTGCACTCGAGCAATCTTTCTCCACCCTGGCAGTAGTTTGAAGGTGGGCGGACTCTTCAGCTCCCAGCATGCCGGCTGGGGAATTCTGGGCGTTGAAGTCTCTCCGTTTTCAAGTTGTTAAGGCTGAGAAACACTGCCTAACCACACACACACACACATACACACACCACCCTTTTCTCTCTCTCTCTCTCTGAGTTATATATAGAAAATCCTCGTAACAGCACTGTTTACTAGAATGAATGGGCGGCGAATGAAAGCGACCGAGCGAGGAATGATCCAGTGCCCATTTATGGGTGCACCTCCCCTGGGTTGTGAAGTCAGTGCCTTCACCCTCCCCGCTCCGCCAAAGGATCTTAAACCCCGGAAATGCATCCCCCCCGAGTCCCTTCCTGGTGGTCTGCACTGCAACTGCCAGATTGGGGGGGGGGCGTCTCCCCCCTCTCTTCCCCCCCACTCCCACAGACCCGGGTTTAGAGGGTTTGACTTCCGGGATTGTGTTCCTTGATATGCCACCTGGTGGGAGGGGCTAATGGCGCCACCCTCTGCCTCCCCCCACCCCCGGCTCTGGGTTGGAGACGGAGGGCGGGTGGGGGCTCAAGTAGACCACCCCTCCCCCGGAAAAAAAATAAACCCCCGCTTCCGTGGTCGCTTCTGTCTCGATCGAGGATGGGCCGACGGCTCTT